CACACACACACAGAGAGAGAGAGAAGCTGCAGCAATTCCATTAATCATTATTTTATTGTTAAATAGTACAGTAAAAGAGAAGAAATGCTTTTGGATATTTAAGGGGGGGGGAATCAAACCTTGAATTTACACCAACTATAAATTTTTCAATGTGTGTCCCATAAACTGTGCTCCATACAACAACCTCAGTTTAAGAGAGACCCCCAGGTATAGGGCGGTATACAAATTCAATAAATCATCATCAACAACAACAACAACAACAACAACAACAACAACAGAGTAGTACATTGTTGAAGGGTCTAGGAAATCCTCTTGGAAGGTTTTAAATCCTTTCTTTTGCTTAGCAGTGAAATTGATTAGTCTTGAGGACTTCCTTCTTGAAAATACATGCTTGGGAGGAAAGGTTCCACTCTGCCATGTTAAGCAGCAGGCTGGATCTCCGCTAACAAGTAGATCCGTTTGCAGGTTCCTTAGCCTGCTGCTTGACACAGACAACATGGGAACCTACTTGCAAGTAATTAATGTCCCATGCTTCTTCCATTGGGACTTCGAAGTCTCAGTGAACTGCAGGGCAATGTATCCGGATAAAATGAGGGGTGTTTGAGTATGGGGAGTGGAGAGCATTTGCAGTTTGGAAAGAGAGAGATTTTGTAGATGCCCCTTACCCCTAAACACCTTCAATTTTAAAGAAATAACATGCGGGTACTGCAATGTCCATGCAGTAATTTTAAAGCCACATCAACGGTTTCCCCACACCACCCAGTTAGGTTTCTTCAATTCTTCTTTCCTCCTTTTCTCCCTTGTCTTTGGCACGCTGCTTATTTTCCAGTAAAATGAAGAATGAAGATGGATTATTCAAAATTGATAACAGTAATGGACCATCCTGTAATGTTTTATTGAATTTGAGTTCTGTAAATTATGTGGTGGAGGGAAATTTGCCTGCTTAAGTATAACAGAAATTGCCACTGTGTTCATATAATTCTTCATAGTGTAATTTAAGAAAAAGCACACTACTCATATCACTGTTTGAGTAAAAGGTAAAAAGGTGCTATTACACTATCATGACAGCTCTCCTCTCGCTAATAAGCGACAAAGATAAATGTGTCTGCTTATAACTTACTTGGCAGGACTCCAAACTTGCGGGTGGAGTTTGAAAATAATCTTCCACCTGGATATGAGATTTCAATCCATTGCAGTAAAGACAGCATATGAGGATGTTCTGCATATTTGGGAGCAAATCATATTTTTCTTCAGAGAGCTTTGAAGTTCCAGGAGCCTGATAAAATCTATCTGAATCAGTGATTACGTTCAAAGAGCAGACAAACTGGGGGCCAGACAGGCTATGTTTTAGTTCATATTGGCAGCCACTTTCATTTATCTCCCTATTTTAAAGAATTCATAATTAGCTTTTGAAAGCACTGAAACTTATTGAACATATTTGTGCAATTACTAATGAAATATACTTGAATGATTTGTAAAGATTATGTTCATTTTTTGTGTGATGTGGCTGTGGCTTAAATTGACTTCTCCTGTAAGGGAAAAAACAGACCTCCTAAATTAGCACATCTAAACTCATCCTCTTTTTTCACTCATAGCAAAAGTTTAATAACAGAATTACAATACATTGACAAATTACTTTGACTGCATTAATGGGGTAATCACTGGGGTAGCTGGTTGCAATATAATCACTGTAGTAATTATGCTTATATCTTATTTATTTATTTATTTATTTATTTAATATTATTTGCAGACCACTTTCTGCAAAGTGGCATTCAGTAAAAATCAATAAGAGCATTTATTTTTTAAAACAACAGGAATAAATCAGTAAAACCTATGAGCTACAGCCCATATGACTAGAAAACTGCTAGTTTATTGCAATAAATAAATGGCATAATTTTAAGATTTGGGCATACCTCCTTTCAAGACAACTTCTTCTGACGGGAGTGTTGTGTAACAACTTAAACTAGCCTTTCTCAACCTTGGGTCCCCAGATGCTACTGGATTACAACTCCCATCATCCCTAACCGCTGATCCTGCTAGCTAGGGATAGTGGGAGTTTTAGTCCAACAACATCTGGGGACCCAAGGTTGAGAAAGGCTGACTTAGACTCTAAGCCAGGGATGGAGGGCCAGTGGCCTTCCAGATGTTGATGGACTGCATGGTTGCTTCTACACAGGCCACTCACTTCTAAAAGGGCATCTGCAATATATTTTGAATAAAACTTCCCTTTCCCATGTTTTCTTGATCAGTTTCCACGCATATACACCTGAATTAACTGCACAATTTCTACATGACCTATCACTCTTCTGTACTGGCATATTAGATAGCTGTAGCCATATTCTTCTCTATAGATTGTCTCTCCACCCTGGGATTTAACCCTCTCTTTACCAAATAGCATTGGCTTTATATCAGTCGTCTCTCTTCCCACAATTGCAGCCAGGGGGAGAATCATGACTCAGTGCATAGTGATGGTGGGGGAGTGATCCTATTGAAAACCAACTCCCATTTGACATTTGGTGGTGGAGAAGGAGGGACTGCCCACTGGCTACAGAATTTAGAAGTATGGAAGCAAAGTTTGCTTTTCCATTTCTAGCTTAAAGCTGAAAAAGCAAGATAGGGTGGCTGTCATTGTCTGTGTCTGAAAATATTCAAGCTCCCATTAGGCATAGCCAACTTGATCAGTGGTCAGGGATGATGGGAGTTGTAGTCTAGCAATATCTGGAGGGCCACAGATTTCACATCCGTGCTCTAGGCCATAGTGGGCATAGCGGTCAGGAAGCTAGACAAGAAACCTGTTGTCTTTCTCAAGGGCAGACAAACATGGGGAACTCCTAATCCAGTGCTACCGGTGATCTGATTACATTTGGAGGTATAGACATGGTCATTATCTATACCTCCCCACTGTTCACACTGTCCACACATCTCATCCCTTTTACTTAAAGAAACAGTAGTTGAATAAATCAACATACAGTCATACCTTGGAAGTCGAACAGAATCTGTTCCAGAAGTTCGTTCGACTTCCAAAATGTTCGGAAACCAAAGCATGGCTTCCGATTGGCTGCAGGAAGCTCCTGCAGCCAATCTGAAGCCACGGAGGCCCCGTTGGACGTTTGGGTTCCAAATAATGTTTGCAAACCGGAACACTCATTCTGAGTTTGCAGCGTTTGGGAGCCAAAACGTTCGACTCGCAAGGCGTTCAGGAGCCAAGGTACAACTGTATTGGGTAGTTTAGGTATAGAACATATGACAATCTGAGTAGTAATATAACTTTCAGTCTTACAAAATGGCTCTGGCTGATTCTCAGTAGATGAACTTGGGATTTCAAGAACTACTTTGTGTATTTGGGGATTGTAACTTTTTGGGGATAGGAAGATGTTGGTTTCTTTTGAGTATTCCATGTACCATCTTAACAGAATATTATCTGGGTATTTAATTTCTACCACAGTAGCCGATGCTATCAAGTTTTTCTCCAACAAACTTGATATAAACTTTGCCTCCTCTCTTTAAATGTGGCAGTTCTCTTGGCTTGCTAATTTGAAGCAGCAACTTTTTCCAACTCAGGCCTTTTTGGAAAGAGGTTCTTCTCTAGGGTTGGAATAGTATTCTGATTTGTCTTTCCGTGAGCAATTTGCTGGACTTTATCCAGCAGAATCAATAGCGTTGACCTGAAGTTTACAAGAGCAAGTACGTGTGTCATTTCCCCCCTCAAGATTTTCATTGCAGTCTGTACTGCTATTGTCATTTAACTGTTGGTAACATAACAAAAGTTAGAAGATGTCCAGAATGACTGAATTCAGTTGCTGCAAATTGGATTATATTTTCGGTCATGAATTTATCTGGCATTCCAAAGTTATCAAAGAGATTATTCAGTCGTGCAACAGCACTGTGGCAGATAATGCCAGGCAAGGGAGTATCTCAACATACCTTTAATAGTAGTTTGTGTCTGCCAAATAATGTCCATCTCCCAGTGGGGTGTAGTGATGAAAGATTCTGTTGTCACAATCTGTTTCTTCTAAAACAGCCACAAGATAATATTTTGGTTTTTTTATGTCATTTCTAGTATTGTGTTATCCTCATGGCTTGTTCACAACTTGTGATTATACTTTTATCCCCTTTGTGAACAAGGTCTAGGATTCTAGATTCAGGTAGGTAGCCGTGTTGGTCCAGTAATTGTCCAGTAGCACCTTAGAGACCAACTAAGTTTGTTCTGGGTATAAGCTTTCGTGTGCATGCACACTTCTTTAGATACACAGTGCTACTCTCCTGCCAACCTAGCAATTCGAAAGCACATCAAAGTGCAAGTAGATAAATAGGTACCACTCCGGCAGGAAGATAAACAGCGTTTCTGTGCGCTGCTCTGGTTCGCCAGAAGTGGCTTAGTCATGCTGGCCACATGACCCGGAAGCTATACGCCGGCTCCCTCGGCCAGTAAAGTGAGATGAGTGCCGCAACCCCAGAGTCGTCAGCGACTGTACCTAACGGTCAGGGGTCCCTTTACCTTTAAGGTGCTACTGGACAAGTTCTAGGATTTCTTTCTTCATAGATTTTGGTACAATCAATACAACTCCCATCTGTTATCAGCCTTTCCAATTTGCTTACTTGCCAGTAGTCAGCAAAGTACTTTCTAGACATCTATGAAACATTGCTAAGGTTTAGGTATTTAGACCGTCTCAGTGTGATATACTAGAAGACTTCTTGACATTCCAAATCTCTGTGAATAGCAATCTGGATCTGACAAAGAAAAGCATACACAGTATGAATGTAAGTTTGACATCCCCCCTCTTAACTTGAAAGTGTACGCTTGCATTGTGGGACTTTGTGACAAGATGTCTGCCATGGCAAACACTGGATGGCTTTGTAGTGATACTTGGTCCAAATATTTTCATGTACGAAGGTCATCAAGTGTTTATGGTCTGTGAAGATCTTAGAAGAACATAGTGTATGTAGAGACGTGTGTGTGTGTGCCTGCACGCTAGTGATTTCTGCCTTCCATTTTTTAGTGGAAAAGCAATTGGCATGTTGTGGAAAAAAAGCAATGCAGGAAAGAAGTTACAAACTATATGCTGAAATTTGTTTGCAGTAGGAATCCAGCTACAATCAGTACAACTAAGGTTTGCTGCACTTACTCCTTTCAATGTGTTTTAATAATTGGTTTCTCCAAGATAGTACTTATTACCCACTTTCCCAGTGTGTATTTATTTCGCTTTTGCCAATAGTGGACTATTATATCCCTAGTAGAACAAAACATAAAATCATTGTATAAGTTCTATATGGATTTAACACATTTACTGCATTATTTTGACATGACTATAGCTTTTACTTCTTTTATATGTTAATATATGCTATGTTTTGTTATAGATTATCCTAATATTTTGTGCTGAGTTTTCTGTTTGCAACTTGGGGCTTCCTCAGTAAAGTGGGTTATAAGCAATACATAAAATAATGGAGCAGAATGCAACCGACATCAATTCTGAACCATGCACCCCTCCTAGTAATGCCCACAAAATAATTTTGAAAAATGATAATGGTTGGAATGCAGGTACAAAAAAATTCATGGTGTATCCAGCTGACCACAATATAGAGCCCCGCTATCAAGCTACTCTAGTAGTGATGGAAGTGCAGAAACAGTTTTTCTCCTCTGCTGTTGAATCCTCTCAGTATCATCCAGGAGAGCTTTTCTGAATATTGTGAGATCTTTTGAAGTCTAGCCCAGGAAGAATTTGCTGCAACCCTTGGTAGAGTAGTGCTGTTATTTATTTGCAATTTACTCTTAAGAGTGGCTGGGGAAACCATCTAGATGGGTGGGGTATAAATAATAATAATTATTATAATAATAATAATTATTTATTATAAAGTTGCTCACAACCATCAGGATGCAGTGTTTATACTCTAGCTTTCATGAATAAATTTCAGTTATTAGAGCCTCATTATTTGGATAAGAAAAAGCGCGGGTGGCACTGTGGGTTAAACCACAGAGCCTAGGACTTGCCGATCAGAAGGTCGGCAGTTCGAATTCCTGCGACGGGGTGGGCTCCTGTTGCTTGGTCCCTGCTCCTGCCAACCTAGCAGTTCGAAAGCACGTCAAAGTGCAAGTAGATAAATAGGTACCGCTCCAGCGGGAAGGTAAACGGCGTTTCCGTGTGCTGCTCTGGTTCGCCAGAAGCGGCTTAGTCATGCTGGCCACATGACCCGGAAGCTGTACGCCGGCTCCCTCGGCCAATAAAGCGAGGTGAGCACCGCAACCCCAGAGTCGTCCATGACTGGACCTAATGGTCAGGGGTCCCTTTACCTTTACTTATTTGGATAGGTTGCTTGGTTGGGTCCAGCCACTCATATTTTTACTTAACCCTCGCTCATCATGGCTTATCTAACAGAGATGAGATGAGCTCCAGAGTGATCCCCCAAATGCTGTACAGAGTCAGAATTTGGGGAGAGGACAAGAACACTATCAAAAGGCTAAAAACGGTGCAGAATCAATTTCTTAAGAGATTATTCCCCTTACTTAAGGGAACAGCAGCAGCACCTTTACGCACAGAAGCCAGGCAGACTTCTATCTCTTGTGTTGGTCTCTGAATACCATTTGCTGGGAATCACAAATGGGGAGAATTTGTTGTACTCTTCTGCTTGTGAGCTTCCCATTGGCATCTAGTTGGTCACTAGTTGACACTAGTCGCCATCTTCTTTTTAGACTAGTGTCTCCAAACATTCCTTCTTTTTCTCTTGGGCAGGTACTCTAAGGCTGAGGAGGTTACCACCTTGTAACACACATGCAGTGAACTGCTCCCCTTTGTATATTATTTCTGTAGTAGAACACCCTCTGTGTGGTGTGGTTTGTAAAAGTCTCTGCCTTGGAATACCATGTAGTTCTCCTCTGAAATTACTGTCGCATCATATCCTGAATCTGTTTTGGAATTAACATTTGACCCACAAATAATTACATTTATTCTTCCTGGAAGGTCAATGCCTTTACAATATATACCGCCTAAGAAAAAAATTGTCATCCATTTCTGTTGTCACCATTTGTACTGCTGGGTATGACATATTATAGCACAGTGCTCTGTTTATGAACTCTTGCTGCACAGCGCTTGGTTGGACAAATTCTTCTAATGTTGTGATCTCTTTGTTTCTTGGTAAGCTGTTTTAAAGGCTGAACCTCTTTGCTACACAATGTACTTAAAGTAGCTGGACTACTTTTCATGGGCTTGCTTTTTTAATTCCTTTGCAAAAATAAAATTGAATTTGCCCTTTTCAAAATGTATATAGTGTTTTGTGGAGCTGTGGTTGGCTCCTCCAAGTCTCTCTTAAGTTCTCTTTGCTGCCTGGTCTGGGTTTTGATTAACTCAGGTTGCCTTCACATCTCTATGACTTTATGAAGTGTTAACTCTACCATCAGCTGCATCCTTTCATAAAAAGGGCTTCCTCTAGAATTCTAGAGGGGGTTATGAGTTTGTTTTTGTTTTTATTTGAAACTTTGTGTTCTCGTTTTGTGTGTTTTTATTGTGAACCACCCGGTGATCTTCACATAAATGGTGGTATGCAAATTTAATGATGGTGGTGGTAATAATAATCTTGATGTGGGTATAATAAGGTTGCCTGAAGAAGAAACAAACAAAAAAAACCACCTGTAGATCATCCTATCAAAGCCATTTGCTGCAGGTTTAGTTAATAATGCAGATTCACTGGCCAGTCTAACCCCAGGTGGGTGGATCATTCCTGGAGCACCAGGCAAGCTAATCAAGTAAATCAAGAATGAAGAACTTTCGGTCCTCCAGATGTTGTTGAGCTACATTTCCATTGGGCCTTGCAGGCATGGCAAGTGGTCAAGGATGGAGAGAGAGGTAGTTCAGTAACATCTGGGGGGCCAAAGTTCCCCATACTTGAAGTAAATCCCACTGCTAAGTCATGTGTGGAAGCCTCGTGATGCAGTGGGTCAGTGCATCTGGCTGTTAACCAGAAGGTTAGTGGCCAGGAATGGCTGTGGACAGGATCCCTGCATTGCAGGGGGTTGGACTAGGTGACCCTCGGGGTGCCTTCCAACTTTGCAATTCTGTGATTCTATGCAACTGCTTGGTCAAGTTAAAAGATCAGCTACCTAAAATATGGCAAGAAACCTAAGCCATTCTTAATCAAAAATAGCATGTTGGTTGGTTGGTTGGTTGGTCTGTTTCTTTGTTTTGGAGTGGAAACAAAACCTTCCTGTGTATTTCCTAAAGGAAGATAAGATCATTTTAGATAGTAACAGTCTGTTTGTGGTAGCTGATTGTGTGAGGGTCATTAGTACCTGGGTGAGAGCCCTTAGATGTCTACCTTTGAATCTTGACGACAAATGCATAAATAAATGAGTAAATAATCCCAGTTGTGAGTTGGCTGCAAATTCTAAATTTTGTTGGATAATTTCCTACTATTTTCGTGTGTGTGTGTGTGTGTGTGTGATTCTTCCAATTATTTGGGAAGGAGAGAAGGAAAAAATACTGAGACATTTGCCATAACCAATTGAGCCATGTTTCCAATGATTACCTGTGATAATCCAATCCAAAAATTAGTCATGATATTTTTCAAATGGTGGGCGGGGGGGGGGGGGAGAAGCAAAGTACTGTTTTCAACATGTGGATTTTGCTCGCTCTCTTTTGTAAACAAGTTCTGTGTGAATTGTGAACTGCCCTCAAATTTCTAGATATGCCTATATCGTTTTAATATATGCCTTACTGCAGACTTTGAATAGCAGTGATGCAATAATGCTGCAGAAATACTTGTATTTTATTTATTCTTATTCTTATTGTCTGTCTTAGAAAGATTTCATGGCAAGTTAAGTCAGTAAAAAAGAGGAGACCAATTAAGCAGATTCAGTCTGTATTGTGCGTAAAGCAGATGCTTAATAAAATTAGGAATACAATTGAGGCTCTCTTCTGTATTACCTAAATTGTCAGTAATATATTCCTACGCAGGATGAATGCTTTTTTGTTGTGCGTTTTCTAAAGTTAAGGAAGCAAAGCAAATCATGATTAGCAGTGGCTGTTTGTTATATAAGGCTGCATAGAGTAATATGGCTTTGTGTTTGTGTGTGTGTGTCTGTGTGTGTGTCTTTTTCCTCTACAGGGCTTGCTCTCAGAAATCCTGCGAAAGGAAGAAGACCCCAAGACCGCGTCACAATCTTTACTGGTAAACCTTCGGGCAATGCAGAATTTCTTGCAGCTGCCGGAAGCAGAAAGAGATCGAATATACCAGGATGAAAGGGAAAGAAGTTTGAATGCAGCTTCTGCAATGGGCCCCACACCTCTTATAAGCACACCGCCCAGCCGACCAACACAAGTAAACTATTTTAAAGTCTTTCTGATCTGCTTGATGCTAAATGATGTGCTTTGATGGTGTGTGCAAAAGAAAGGCAAGCTGTATAGCTGCTGTTTTTTCAGATACAGTAATGCATCTGGAAGTTCTGATTGAGTTTTGTGTGTCAAAATTGCACGAGCAGTGCAGCCTGCATTTCGTTTGCTTTTTTAAAAAAGGAAGTCGGCAGTCTTAGTAAGTCCTCAGATGGATTGCGGAGATTTAGCCTTGTAGTGTGAAAGTCAACCAGGTACAAAATTATGATAGTTCTCTGAAGCTCCTAAAGGTTTGCACTAGCTCTGAAATAATGCTTAAAATCCTGAAGGGTGTTGCAGGCTCAGTTAATTCCATTTGATCAGTTATAGGCACAATGAGTGCCTGTATCTGGAGCCTTTCAAGGAACACAGTAATGTGTGAAGGGGAGGTACATCTTTGAATGGAAAGCAATTATAGATCTTCAGCCATGAATTACGAATTATGGATGTCTCTTTTAACAACAGGCAAAGCTATATATATATTTTAAAATAATCAGTAATTTCATTGACATTATTTAAGCAGATTCTTCAATAGTTCTCGAAACCCAGACAAAGATAAACTGAACTAAAGTTTCTGAATTAGAGGCTGCTTGGACCCTCATGACTTCTTGCTGCTGAGATGGCGTTTGTCTTCAGATACACTGCTCACAATTTCTAATTTCAGAGGATTTCTTTCTGTGAGCTTATCACTTAATTAAGATCGTTTAAACACCTTTGAAATCTAAATGCTTGGCTGTTCACTATATAGAAAATAGTTCTAATTGACTACCTTTGTGCCAAGTCTTATTTTAATGACACACGTGAAATGGCCAAAATATGAAATACAACCTTCCATCCGTGAGAAATAACCATGGAGAGGACAGTTAATGGAAACACTAACATTTAAATATAAATATGCTTCCAGGCGCCACTGTAATAATGGAGTAGTAAACTTTGTCCTGATAAAAAGCCATTCTGAATGAGAGCAACTGCATTTATTATACCTCTTGTGCCATTTGAAGAACTGAACTGAAAGTAGTTTGTTTTGCCTGGAATGAAGTACTTTATGAATTTTAATGTACAATGTCATATTAAAAGCTAAACCAGGATTAAAAAAGATTTTTGTTCCTAAACTAAAACAGTACTTATGGGAATATGTATATAAAAGGGTTGGGTTTTTTGTTTCATTTTCACATGGGAAAAAATATGAGAAAGCCCATATTTGTGAAAAGCTGTTAAATTACCTGTTTGGGTAAATTTGGGCTTCGTTCAAGAAATATGAATGACTCCAAATTTTCCTGTTTTTATTGTCAGCCAAGATAGATAGAATTGCTAGGAGATGTGTCTTTTCTAAATATTTTTTAAAGAGCTGCTAGGAATGGAAATTATATTTTCTTAAACAGATGAGAATAAAGGCTCATGGCAGTTTCATAGAAATGTTAGCAAAGTTTTGTCACCATTACAAATAACTGCATAGTTGATGCCTAGTTGTATTAAATTTTTTAGGTGTAAGATTTTAGTAGGCATTTGTTTCAAATTTTGTGAAGTGCCTTAATGCACTGATGGTGCTGTATATATAACAACTCTTCTTATGGGATTTGGTGGTGCACCAATTTAACATAGTGAAGGTTTTATGTCCTTTTGCTTCCACTTTCTTCCTCGAGTTCATTCCTTACTCTAACACTAAATTATTATTTTTCAGAAAACACAGTATTATAAAAACTTCTTTAATATATATATATATATATATATATATATATATATATAAAGTATCACACACATTAAATTGTGACTGGTGCTTTCAATAGAAGTTCTGGAGGGGGAAAAGCCTTTGTAGATAGCCTCTGAAAGGTTAATTAGCAATACGTAGTGCTCAGCAGAGCACAACAGACTAATCATCCATGATATTCTTAATGGTTCAAGAGAAACTGTTAGAAAGGAAGGGAAATGTTTTTGAGGCTGATCTGCTATGCAAGAGTTTGGAGAAATGAAACAACCCTTCTCTAGTAACCTATAACCCAAGTTCATAAAGGTATGCCAAGCAGTCTAAAGTAATTTGTCCTCATCTCTCGTCATCATCCCCCTCCAAGTTTTCGAAGAGTCTTTTAATATTTGTCTACTATTATATTTATCTATACCCAGTTAAAAGAATCTCAGGCTCTTGACATTATTTGGATGAAGCATGTTAGAAAACGTAGTTTCGATAAAAGGCTGTGTCTGGCTTGCTGGGTAACCTTCCTACGAAGAACTGATCGATGAGACAGGAATAACCCTGGAGCAGTGATGACCAAACTTGGCCCTCCAGCTGTTTTTGGACTACAACTCCCACCATCCCTAGCTAACAGGACCAGTGGTCAGGGATGATGGGAATTGTAGTCCCAAAACAGCTGGAGGGCCAAGTTTGCCCATCACTGCCCTAGAGGTAAAAGAGCGTACACGTTTGCTCATGTTTTGTCTGGGTGCCTGGAGTTGCTAGGTTTGCCTAGCAGCAAAGAGCGGAAACTTTCACCTTGCTTGTCTGGGAGGGCTTCGGTTGATGGTGCATCTTAACAGATTTCTGCAGCCTCTCCATCAGTTGCTGAAACCAGAGACATGGATTATTTGGTCAGCTCCATGAAATGTTGCCTTGCGTTGTGAAAGCAGCCCCTGCCCCACGATGGTTTCTAGTCAAGAACAGAAACCACCTGGCCATCTGTCAGGGAGTCTTTAGCTGTGATTCCTGCATTGCAGGAGTTCTGACTAGATGGGGGTACCTCCCAATTCTGTGATTCTATAAATCGATAAAATCTGTTGTTGTCTACATATCAAGGTGGTATACGTAGTTCTCCCCCTCCATTTTCTCCCTACAACAACCCTGTGAGGCAGATTAGGCTGAGAAACTGTGACTGGCCCTAGGTCACCCACTTTCTCAATGAAAAGGAAAGGCACTTTGCATGAGCTCAGGAACTTTTACTAGGTTCAAGCTTGCTAGCTGAAATAATTATTTCATTGACTTTATTCAAAACTGGGCTGGTGGAAGGGTCTTGGGGGAGTGCTAACAGTTCCAGGCGCTGGCAACCCACACCACACAAGTAGTGTGTTGTTACAGCTGTAGTGCTGTAACACTGTAGAGCCAGTGTGGTGTAGTGGTTAAGAGCGATAGACTCGTAATCTGGGGAACCGGGTTTGCGTCTCCGCTCCTCCACAAGCAGCTGCTGGGTGACCTTGGGCTAGTCACACTTCTCTGAAGTCTCTCAGCCCCACTCACCTCACAGAGTGTTTGTTGTGGGGGAGGAAGGGAAAGGAGAATGTTAGCCACTTTGAGACTCCTTCGGGTAGTGATAAAGAGGGATATCAAATCCAATTTTTTTTTTAGTGCCATTCAGTTGGAAATTTGAAATTTGACGTTCATATCTTATTTTCCAGGTAAAAACTACAGCTATTGCAACAGAAAGGAATGGAAAACCAGAAAACAATACTATGAACATTAATGCTTCCATTTATGATGAGATTCAGCAGGAAATGAAGAGAGCTAAAGTGTCTCAAGCATTATTTGCAAAGGTTGCAGCAACTAAAAGCCAGGTAAGGGCCTTATCAGGCATCAGTGGGCTAAATTTGCTTTTCCAACATTTGTTCCAATATGGAGTTGATTTGGCCTGCATTTAGAGGGGGTAACAGAATGCTATATGGACATGTTGGCTAATAACAATGTAACATTTAAAATTTGCAATATCTAAAGCATGCTTAGCTTTCTTTGAATGTTGCCTTATCTGTTGTAAAATTTGATGTTTTTTCCTAGTAATATGGGGAAAGCTACCATCCTAATGGCCAGGGACACACAACTCAAACCACACCGAAGGTCCAAATTATATACTGCCACATTGGTCATCATAAATAGCCTAAATAGTCTATTTTCATTTAACTTACTAATTTTAACTCTTATCTTCCCCCCTCTCTTTTCCCCATAGTTTTCTCTACCATTATATTCATAATCATTATTTTTACACCACTGTTGACATCTGAAATCCTGTTAGCCCTTCCTCTTTTTCAATCCTTAACATATTATCTCCCTGTACAACTACTGGTTTGAATCACCCTCTCTTCTTATCTTTGTATCTCTTATGTATACAGTGTCTACCCAAAACTATGTCAATATTACCAGGCAGTCTAAGCTTGAGGTTTCTATCATTTGCATAGAAATACTTATACTTCTTGCCCCTCTCTAATTCTGTGCGTACCTTTTCCTATGCTGCCTTATTTTTTAGTTTATTTTTTATTAGCTCTCATTCGGTTCAGTGTATTGTTTTTTGCCTTCTTGCCTTATTCTGATGACACAGATCGTTTAGAGTCTGTTCTGTCCCAAACCTGAGCCTTTCTCAGCATCTGCTGCTACTGCCCCAGAAACCATTTTAAACGCTGTTGTACAAGCTTTTCAATTTTAAGTGCCAGTAGTTGGGTGACATTATAATACAAGTGTTACCTATAGAATATCCAATGGTTTAATATGAACACTCTCTTTTTTTAATGACATTGAATAGAAAGTCAGCATGCAGAGTGAAGGTAATTTACTGCTGGAGACAGAAATGGCATGTTTGATTTTTTTTCTCTCCACATAGCTATCATGCTCAGTTTATGTTCACTGAAGATAGTGGTACATTATTGTTAGCAGTGTTAGAGTTCTTGAAACACATGGCCAACATTATATTATATGCATGAAAATATGTGGAAGCAGGGCAGTTAAATACAAAGTTGATTTGAGCGGTAGATTATCCTTAGCTATGATATCAGCTTCTTAAAACTACCCAAAGGGTGTGTGTTTGTCACTTATAGCTTGAGTAATATAATATAAGTTCTCTGTATTGGGGGTGTATTTTGGACTCTGTTGTTGCAGTTTGTTTTGTTATTTAAGCTTCAACTTTGGAAATATTTGCAGTTGGGAGTCGCTCCATCTTTCATTATATAGAAAAGATGTTTCTTTTTAAAGTTATATGCTGTAAGGAATACTTAAAAGGATATTTTGGAAATGTTATATCAAAATGATTAAACTCAAGCTGTGGACTGTAAAAAATTATAGCTTTACAGGCCACATGCCTGCCTACCCTTCAATCACTGTCAAAGTGATAATTTCTGCAATAATATGTTTCTTTTATTGTGGGATTCTAAACACCAAGTGCTGTTTAAACATTAAATGGAATTGTTTATGTTAGCTCTATACTCACTGTGTCATACACCAGGCCACTATAATCTCTCATGGAATGTAAAAATTCTGTCATGAATCATGGCTTGTGTATTGGAAATTACTGTAATTTTGATTGGAAATTACAGGGCTCTTGAAATGTTTCTAATTATGATAGAATGTTAACCGCGACTTCAAACCTGTGTGCTTCTTTAGATGTCTTTTATTTTCATGCATAGGTTATGCATTAAGATGAAACCTCCGTTGTCAGCACCCGACCATGTTACCCATCCTTAGTCTTTTTCAGTTTTCCTTGGATATTGTAGCCATAAACTCACTTGGTTGCTAGTGTAGTTGATACCAAGATTTTATCCCCACCCCTGAATTCTAACTGCATTGTAAAGTCCACATAGGACGTATCTTATAATTTAATTTTAAATCTAGTATGTCTTTTGTTTTGAGTATAGACCAGAGGGAATATCGGTAATCTTAGGAAACAGGAAGTTTACATATAGTTGAAAATAATTGATCTAACAATAACAGTATTAGGTGATACATTATTGAGAGCATCTTTAATCTTATTTGAAAGAACATTCTGCAGTGTACATCCTTTCAGTTATTATTGACCTAAGAATATTAGTACATATACTTATGCACTTTTAAAAAAATACTTTGCTGAATATTACAGAGCACTTTGTGCAAGAGGCACCATTACTAACAGTCCATTTTAATTATTCTCCTGGTTTTAGTTTTAAACTGAAAAGTGTGGAATTACTGGCTTTTAATTTCCAGACATTGTGGTCTGGGATTCCTAATATCACCAGTTAGTGTTCACATCTTGCTTTTTTTTAATAGTGTTATTTGCTCAGCATGGTTCAGCTGTGCAATAGGGCTTTTGAGACTGCAATCCTATACACTGCAATCCTGTACTAGGTCTTACTGGTCTTACTTTTGAATAGGCATGCGAGTTCCCCAACAGTAAAAGGCAATTTGTCAGTTCTCTAATGGAAGCCACACGTTGGGCTGCTGCTGAAGAAAGGCAATTAAGAAAGTCCAGGAGTATGCAATAAACTTAGACAAGTGCATCTCAGAACAGCACCCATTGTCTTTCGACCCTTCCAAAATGGTTACATACCATTCATTCCCTGCTGAATGGATAACTGAATTTTGGGATGCTGAAAATTGCATTGTGGAAAACAAACGTGCCAATCACCTTAATGCAATCACCATTTAAACAAATGGCTGCTGCTACTGCAGTACAGCCTTCTGGGTAGTAAGAAGCTGACATGGAAAGAGGGCGCACAATTTAGAAATTAATAACTTATTAATAGTGCCAGCTGTTTGAGAGTGGAACAGGCCACCTTCATTACAGGTTTTTAAGCGCAGGTCAATGGCCACTTATCGTGTGATGTAGCACTGGATTTCCTACATCAGCAAGGAGTCAGACTAGGTCCATCCAAGTCTGTGATATCCTGTCGAGAACAAGGATAAGGCATAACTAATTTATATTTGTACTATACAAATATATAGAACGAAGTCTTTTCTTTCACTGTCACATCTGCATTATTTATTTTCACATGTAAAATAGATAGTTGTCATTTGAGTGCTCTCAGACTTCTTGTACAGTGTGACATGAAGACTACTTCTTTTTTTTTGCTAGGGTGTTCCCCCCCCCTCCTTGTGATGTTAAAGGGGACCTAAGTATGTAAGAAGAAATCTTGGCAGCGCTTGTGGTTTAGGGAAGCCCAATGCAGAGTTTCGCTTTTACAGTGTGGTAGCGCCATGCCTAGAAACAGCTGCTGCTTGGTCATTTGAATAGCACAATATATGGCCCTGCCATTTTGCACAAACGGATCCCCTTATTACTTAGTTAATATCACAATGACATTGCTTAAATTGCACTGGTATTTATTTTCTGGTATGAATGTTTGATAGTATTTTTATGCTTCCATAAAGAACTATTCATCTGGCACATCATATTGGATAATCATGAAAAAAAATTAGATTGGCTATCATAGCTTTGATCCATTTGTTGCATTGCAGTAACATTCCTCCTTACATTAGTTTAGCACCAAATGCTATATTCAGAATAAGCATTATTAATTAAAAAAAATTATCCTGAGTATCTAAGACAGATTGGGTTTCTAAAAAATAGTATATTCTGATATTATTAAAATATCAGGAGGAAAGGGGCAGGATATAAATTCAACAAATAAATAAATAAAAGATTTCTGCAGCTATAGCAGTGAAACTGCAAAAAACCAAATGGGCCCAATCCAGGTTAAGCACTTTTTTCTTACTGATTTATTGGTTATGTACGTGCTTGGATTTCCCCGATTTGAACTAAAGGGTCAAGTTTAACAAACTTGATTGTGACCAGTATATTTTTCCTAAATATGCTTGTCTGGTTGATACAATGAAGCCATCCCCTAAATACATTATCCTTTAGAGCAGTGTTTCCCAACCTTGGGCCTCCAGCTGTTTTTGAACTACAATTCCCATCATCCCTGACCACTGGTCTTGCTAGCTAGGGATGATGGGAGTTGTAGTCCAAAAACAGCTGGAGGCCCAAGGTTGGGAAACACTGCTTTAGAGAACTGTTTCTGCTACCGAAATGTTAGTAAGTCACAATACATGTAAGCGTTTTAAGCGTACTTGCATTCTGCCCTGCTCAACAGTAATTCACTGGATTGTATTAAGCTGTTATAAAACTTCACTTTGCATGGAACATTCCTATGTAGAACAGAGTGCTCACTTCAGTGTGATTTGATTCAGTTCTTGGCCCTTGCTGGAAACATTTGTTTTTCTAATGTATATAGTACTACATGTACTTTCAGTAATCTGATGTAGCTAGAGATAATGCTGGCCCACTCCTTTGCTGCATGTTACAGTATATTGCCTAACTTCCGGCCCTTCTATCTTTATCATTCCAGTTGTTCAGTCACTTACACGAGCTGAAATTAATAGGCTCCCATAGCTTGGTAGAAAAGTACATGTGCAATACTTGGCTGCTCTAGGAGCATTTTAATTTACGGTAGGAAAGCTGTGCACAAACGTATTATGTAATTATACACTCCTTCTCAACTTGCATTTTACAAAGGAAATTGTGGTTTTGAACATATTTCCTACACTTTCTTGCTTTCTTTTTCACTCTCTCGTGCACACTTCTAAAACTCAGGCCATGTCTTCTCCTAGCTCTTCTACTCTCCTTGTGTGATTTCATCTCTTTTTGGACCACAGCTGTCTGGAATTTACAGCCTTACTCCTGCTTTTCTGTTGCCTCTGGTTTGCATTTGTTGGCAGCGGGGGGTTGTTCACGACATTATTGGTTGTTTTGCTCTTGTAATGTTCCTCACATGCTTATGGACCTGGCCACTAGTTCAACAGGCATTGTGGTGGGGTTGCT